CGTGACAATGTAAGCTAAAGGAAGTAGGATATGAATGTGACCAATGTCTGTGGGGATTCTCAATAATTCAGGTGATGGTTGCCCCAAAGGTGCTTTTTCAAAAAGACAACTGGACTTTGTTTTTCCTTGAAGACATTTTGCTTCTCATCCAAGGAGCTTCTTTAGTCAGAACTGAAGAAGCTTCTTGGATGAGAAGCAAAATGTCTTCAAGGAAAAACAAAGTTGGAAAAAGCACCTTTGGGAGTGTAAGCCATATTGATCTAGCCTTTGCTCTTTATTTAAGCTAGCTTTCTCTTCTTGCCTTTCCAGGTACTATGCCATCTGCTGCCAGCCATTGGTTTACAGGAATAAGATGACTCCACTACGCATTGCCCTATTGCTGAGTGGCTGCTGGGTAATCCCAATGTTTATTTCTTTTCTTCCTATAATGCAAGGCTGGAATAGCATTGGCATCATGGACTTGGTGAGTAGATCTCAGTTGCCTGATGTGAAACCTATTCCAGGTCAAAATCAGAATACTTTTATTTTGCCTACAGTCCTGCTTAGCCTTGAATGATTGTATACCATTGTTATTGATTTATGAATCAAAGTAAATATGCATGTCCCAGGATCCAATCTGAGTCAGTAACCAGGACCAGAGGTTTACTTTTCCAAGCTTTTTGATTCATGCTCAGGGAAACTCTCTAGTAGTGTGTGTGTGTGTGCTTTGAGCTGTTCTGTGTGTGGTATTTATATGGTGCCTTTTGTGTTTGGCTTTTTATTGATTTAAATATAAATTGCATATATTATAAATGTAATTTACATTTTGGAGGTATAAATGCTGCTCTAGATTCTCAGTATTATCTACAGTGGTGCAGTGGTTAGAATGCAGTATTACAGCCTAATTCTGCTCACACTGCCAGGAGTTCGTTTCCCTGAATCCTGACTGGCTCAAGGTTGACTCAGCCTTCCATCCTTCCGAGGTGGGTAAAATTGTTGGGGGCAAATGCTGACTTGTAAATCGCTTAGATAGGGTTGTGAAGCACTATGAAGCAGTATATAAGTCTAAGTGCTATTGCTTTTGCTATATATTTCCCATTCTAGGCCTTTCACATTCAGCCTCCCCCCCCCCTTGGAGAAACTCTTGAAATCATGTTTAGGTCCTATAAAAATGACAACCAATATTATAATTTCACAATGCAATTCACTTCGAACCTACAGAAATCTCTCTACCACAATATAAAGCAGCAGGAGGGCAGCTGAGTCATGGTGTGTAAAAATTCCCATCACTGTGTGCACTAGACTTGTGCACAATGCAACTTTATTTTTCTATGATGTTTTCTCATAGTGACCTCTTATGTAATTGGATTCCATAAAATATCACTTATGAAAAACTGTTATGGGTATTCAATATTATCTACAATTTAAAATTCTACAGCAATAAATGAAGAAGAAAATTGCAAAACAGAACTATAAGAAGCATTTTTGAAACAAGACAAATAATGTTAGCACTAATTTATAGCTCTATAGATGATTTTAGTTTAGTTAAAGTATATCCCACTAAGATTTGAGCTAAACTAACCTATGAGCTAAACTAATCTCTGGGGGGAAGAGAGAGCCTTCAAAAAATTTTAAGGACAACTCCATTTAATCCTTGTTTTGTACCTGTTTAAATTAAAACTAGCACTGCTCTGGGGTAGAACAGGTGATGAATCTCTTGTGGTATTCTGACTTTTCTGAATAATTGTTGGTTCTTCTTGAACTTTTGATTTTTGTAATATTTTTATTATACTGTGTAAACTATCCAGAGTCATAACAGATTAGGACAGCCTATACATTTCGTAAAGAACATAAACATAATTAATGGTTCAGTGCTCATCCAATCCAAATATTTCAAAAGGTTTCCAGATAACTTACACCATCATCTTTGGGTAGTTACGTTTTTCTTCATATCATGGAGCTGAGTAAACGTATCCACAAAAACATATGTTACTTGAATTTTTCTAATAGCTTTAAACAAAAGGCACATTCTTCAACTTGCTGTTCTCTGCTATTTGTGGCTCACTGTAATTTGGATGATTACTATAAAATTTATTCATTAGTTATCAAATGATTTAAATGACAATGGAAAGTTTTCTTCCTGAATCCAAGAAATGAAAATGTCTGTAAAGTGAAAGTACATTTAGTTCATACCAGTACTCTGTGTTTATTCATTTTGAAATGTTTGATGAACAATAAAAAAGTTAAAACAAGGCTGGAACATTAAAGACCTCAGAGACCGTTTACTACCTTTAAATCTATTGTTATAAGCCCTGGTATTCTTTCTGGTCACAAAAGTTATAGAGCAGTATCCTATAATTCTGAGGTCAAAAGCACTCTAAAATAATAGTTAAACTTTAAAATAATTGCTTTCTACAGCATTAGGTGGAACAATAGGAAAGCCTGGTGAATATGTTCAGGTTGTATTCATTTTGTACTTAATTCTAAGTACAATTCTGGGGGAGATCTCAATTATATAAGAAATATAGATCTCTAGTTGAACAGAGGTAGATTTGAGTATGTTTTCTGCAAGAGATTTTCCTTAAATAGGGGTGTCAAAATCGATTTCATTGAGGGCCACATCAGAGTTGTGTTTCACGTTGGAGGTGGGTGTGCCCATGATGAGTATGGGCAGCTCAACGTCACTTATATTGGGAGGCACCTGTGGTGGCCCGAGTGCTCCGCTACCAAAAATGGGGTTCTGAGCTCCATTTTTGGGTGTGATGGCCTCCTGCAATCCTCTCCCAGAAAAAAACAAAGCTCAAGAGGATCATGTGTGGCCCTTCTGAGTTCTGTTTTCAGCTGCAACAGGCTCCTACAACCCTCTGCCAGAGAAAGTGGAACTCAGGAGGACTACGTGCAGCCCTCCTGAGCTCTGTTTTAGTCTGCGACGGCCTCCTGCAGAGAAAATGGAGATTGGGAGGGTCGGGTGCAGCCCTCCCAAGCTCTGTTTTTTTTCTGGCACATGCACCATGGGCCTTTGCTGCTTCCAAGGTGGCCCCATGAGCTAGATCTAAACACCACATGGTACGGATCCAGCCCATGGATCTTGACTTTGACACCCCTGTCTTTAAAGAACAATCTTTTCAGTTTAAGGATAGGCAACTTGTCCACCTTATCTACCTTTCTGTATTGATACTATGCCCTCTGGGGGGAAAATGCCTGGATCTTTGTTTTTGTACATGATAACTGGAGTAACGTTATTGTGTGCATAAAGATGGAAAGATTTGGTACTACCTACTTTGGAGAAATGGTTAATGAAGCTGATAGAATTTTCTGAGGTGGCTAAATTGATTTCTTTGCTAAAAGAAAATACAAAAGAAAATTTATATTTATTTATTTGTTAAATTTCTAGGCCGCCCAATCCCGGAGGACTCCCGGCGGCTTACAAAGAAAGAAAAAAAGAAAAGCAAAATAAAAGAATAATTTAAAAATTCCCAACACCCAATCTTTTTTGGTGGGGGCTGGACCTTAAAAAAAAGGGCAACCGCCCCCAGGCCTGCCGGAACAGCCAGGTTTTAATAGCT